CTTTATTAAAAAAAAAAGAGAGAGAGAAAGCCTTACTAAAGTATATAAATGAAGATCTGAGGAGTGGAAAGATACCTCAGGTTCATGGATGGGGAATCCTAACATATTGAGAAACACAATAATACAATAGCCTCTCACACCTGTAACATAAATCATAGCAGGATTTGGGGAGAATTTAACACATTGATTCTAAAATGCACAAGAAAATGAAGTCTATGAGTGTCTGACAATTTTGATTTGAAAAAAAAAGCAATATGGGTATTTTAGAAGGTTGGGTGGTAAAGGAATGGAGACTAGCTCTACCAAATTCTAACACATAAGAAAGAGCCATAACAATTAAAATGCTGACCGGCGCCGCGGCTCAATAGGCCAATCCTCCGCCTAGCGGCGCCGGCACACCGGGTTCTAGTCCTGGTTGGGGCGCAAGATTCTGTCCCGGTTGCCCCTCTTCCAGGCCAGCTCTCTGCTGTGGCCCGGGAGTGCAGTGGAGGATGGCCCAGGTGCTTGGGCCCTGCACCCCATGGGAGACCAGGAGAAGCACCTGGCTCCTGCCATCGGATCAGCGCGGTGCGCCGGCCGCAGCGCGTCCGGCCGCGCCGGCCATTGGAGGGTGAACCAACGGCAAAGGAAGACCTTTCTCTCTGTCTCTCTCTCTCACTGTCCACTCTGCCTGTCAAAAAAAAAATTAAAATGCTATGACACTGACATAGAAACTGGCAAAGCATCAGAACTGAATAATCCAAAGGCAAATACATGCATCAAGGGGAGCTCAGGCTAGAACTCTTGAGAATAAATATAATATTTGATGAGTGGCATTATGAAGATCAATTTTTTTTATTTTGGGTAAAGGAAATGTGTATCCCTTCTCCCTTCATATTTAAAAAATTAAAAGTCATAACTTCCTGTTAATGTGCCTGGGACGGCAGCAGAGGATGACCTAAGTACTTGGGTCCCTGCCACCTATGTGGGAGACTCAGATGGAGTTCCTAGCTCCTGGCTTCAGCCTGGTTCAGACCTAGATATGTGGCTACTTTGGGACTTTGGGAGTGAGCCAGCAGATGGAAGATTCTCTCTCTCTCTCTCTCTCTCTCTCTCTCTCCTTTTCTCCTTCTCCTCCTGCTCCTCACCTTCATCCTTCTCCTCTTCCTTCTTATTCTTCCTCTTCCTTGTCTTTAAAATAAATAAATTTTTTAAGAATTACAAATCAATAAAGATCTAAATGTGAAAGAAAAACAATACTAATAGAAGAAACCATTGTAGAATATTATAAATAGGCAGATAAATGTAAAGCAAGGCTTTTTTTATTTAATAAATGTGAATTTATAAAGTGCAACTTTTGTATTGTTGTGGCTCCCCCCCCAACCTCCCTCCCTCCCTCGGCCCTCCCCTCTCCCACTCCCTCTCCCATCCCGCCCTTCATCGAGTTTCATTTTCAATTACCTTCATATACAAAAGATCAACTTAGTATACACTAAACAAGGATTTCAACAGGCTGCACTCACAGAACCACACAAGGTATAGGGCATTGTTCGACTAGTAGTGTTGTTTTTAAGTTTCATAATAAAACACATTAAGGACACAGATCCTATGTGGGGAGCCTGTACCCAGTGACTCCCGTTGTTGATTTAACAATTGGCACTCTTATTTATGACATCAGCAATCACCCGAGACTCTAAAGCAAGGCTTTTTACCTAAAATTATTCATTGGGAAAGAGGGAATTACCTTAAGTATAAGTCCTTTTTTTTCCAAATTATGGGCCCTCTCTCAAAGTTATTTGGGGAAGATGCATTATCCAAAAATGATCTCAGTGATTAAATATGTGAAAAGAATTAGAATAAAATGAGTTTATGATATGCGGAGGTAGAAATGGAAATATGTGCTCACAAACCTTTTATGTTATACTGGTAAAATGTGATTTTAAATTTTTGAGCTACTGACTAAATAAAGGTAGTTAGCAGACAATTTTCTTGTCACTTCTATACTCCTAGAACTTTACATTTGAAGCTGACCAAAATCTTTTAAGATGTTCTCATTGAGAAAGTAGAGAATTACTCTATCCCATTTTATATTCCACCAAAAACAATTTAAAAATAACTCGACTGTTTTGGGGATATAATTTCCTAAGTTCATAAAAACACAATCCATAGGGGTTTTGACTATAAAACTAAGTAATTCTACTCAGGGAAGGAATTTATATAAATTTTAACTGTCGAGCAGCAAACTAGAAGAAGACATTTGCAAAATCCACCTTACACAAGACTTCTATATAGAATTCTCAAGAAAATGACAGAAATTGTACTGTCACACTAGGCAAGAGAAGGGCAGGTGTTTGGCACAATGGTTAAGACACTTGCGTTTCATATCAGAGTGTCTGGGTTCAAATCCCACCTCCACTTCTAATTCCATCTTCCTGCTAATATGCATCATGGAGGCAGCAGTGAGGGCCCAAGTACCTGGGCCCCTGCCAGCTGTGTGGGAGGCTTGGATTGAGTTCCTGGCTCCTGGTTTCCGCAGGGCCCAGCTGTGCCTGTTGCAGGCATTTGGTGAGTGAGCCAAATACCTCTGTGTTTGTGTGTCTGTCTGTCTGTCTGTCTCTCTTTCTCTCTCTCTCTCTGCCCTTCAAATAAACAAGAATAAATAAAAATTTTAAAATAAACTAGACAAAATACATCAATCAGCAATCCACAGAGCAAGAAACTTAAGAAAAGATGCCTAGGAGAGGCAGGCACACTAAAACAGTGAGATGCCACTCTGCATCTGCATTCTGCAACATTTGAAAGTTGAAAGGAAAAGACAGCTCCTGCTCTCTCGGTGGGAGTGTAAGCTGCTTCTGAGTCCTGAATGACAGCAATTATAAGCTGGCTGGTGCAAAAAAATTAGCGTGGGAAAGAAGCATATCCTTGAGGGCAAAGCCTGGTCAATTAGAGCCCGGGGACTAGGGACAGGTCCATGGAGGAGGCTGAATGTGAGCTGGATCCAAAGAGCTGGGGGAGAGGGGAAGGAGAGGGAGGAGCCCGAGCTGGCGCCCTGAGGCAAAGGCAGACAGGATACCATGCAGGAAGAGTGGGACCCCTCGGCTCAGCCAAGAATGGGTCTCCTGGGAGCAGGGAGTAACAGCCTCAACTAGAAGAGAGCCCCAGTCGTGAGGGTCTCCATGTTTCTGGAGTGCTCAAGTGACAGCACCACAGACCAGAGGGCAGCTAGTCCAAGCCCTGTATTTCACAGGCGGGGACATGCGGGGCGGGGGGTGGGGGGTGCTTTTTCCAAGTTGTCACATCCTAATAAAACAGTTGTCAATCACAGCTGGCAGGAAATTTCTGGATAAATTGGAAAATAGGGATTAAAAAAAGTTAGGAATAGAGAGAAAGAAAGGTTAGGTTTAGAACGGCAAAGTGAGCGTAAAGCCAAAAACACCTCAAAGGAAGAACATACACTACCCAAGGTCAACTCAAAGCATGTTTCAGAAAAGAAAGAAGTCGGCTGGGCGCCTGGGCCGGTGGTTACGAGCCTGCATCTCACATCAAAGTGCCTGGGCTGGGTCCCTGCCTCCGCTCCCACCTCCAGCTTCCTGTCGGTGCAGACCCTGGAAGGCCGCAGGGGTGGCTCCAATGATAGGGCTCCTGCCCTCCACATGGGAGACTCAGATTGAATTCCTGGCTCCTGGCTTCCGCCCTGGCTGTCGTGGGCACTTGGAGAGTGAGCCAGAGAATAGGAGCAACCTCTCTCCTGTCTTAAATAAATGAATGAATAATGTAAAGATAGAGAGAGAGAGAGAGAGAGAGAGAGAAATGTTTGCTAGAGAAAGAAGTCCACAGTGCTACAAAATTATGTGAGCGCCAATGCTAAGCCATTGAGCACTTTTCTATGTGCCAAATATTGTTCTAGCACACTAGAGATGCTAAGTGCTAAGGTCCACAAAAGCCCTATAGGTGGACATCACCGTTATCATCACTCTTTTACAGACGGCGATCCCGAGCCACAGAGAAGCTAAGTAACTTGGCCAAGGGCACACAGCCAAAAGCTGCCGATTGTGGTTGGATTCCCAGCAGTCCAGCTCTAGAGCTCCTACTCCACCAGGAGTTCTCCACCAGCCCATGTGGTTCAGAGGAGGCACCAACTGCTGGGAGAACCACCTGTCCTCCCCCAGGTGAGAGCCTCCCACGCTGCGAACAACAGGGGCTCTCTCACCAACACCAAAGTAACTTCCCTCTTAACTTTAATGCACTCTCATTCATCAAAGCCCCCGGACCCTATGGAGAGTAAGAAGTAAAGCACACGCTAAGGAATTCAGCACCAGACGCCCTGAGCCCCCGCTCCCACTATTCACCAGGACAGCACCGTCCCAGTCTTCCCTGCCCAGTTCACTCAGCCAAAGGGCAGGTCGTTGGGAGGAACGCGTAGCCCTTCCAGGCTGCTCCCACTCGCTTCTGGCATTTGACGACTCTGTTGGCATAGAACTGACGTGGCTGAGCTGGAATAGCGCCTGGGGGCTCCCTCTTCCCATGGCTGAGCTCCAACTTCCCAGTTACGGTGTGGGTCATACATTCCTCCAGGCGGCCTCTTCTAAACATAAACACAGTCACAAACACTAAATAAAGTGCAACAGACACACACATGCACACACACACATACACACCTATGCACATGCACACACACACATGAACACATACACACACGTATGCAACATGTATACATACACACATATGCACAGACATACACACACACATACACACAACCTCCTCAACCACTTTGCAAGCACACTATCAGAAAACAGGTCTGCCTTCAAGTCTCACCTATTCTGCACAAATGGTTAGGAGGAAAGTCATCTCTTGTGCTGAGCCCAGGTCCTGGAGTGAGGGGTTTCCCCACGCTCTCCCTAAAGAGGGCCAGCTGTGCTCAGGTGACGGCTGAATGGGAGAGAGCAGCCATCCAAGCTGAGATATCCAGAAACGAGTATCACGAGTCAAGAAAGGAGCCAAGCCACAGTGACACTGAGAAATGACATTTATTGCCTTGAAGTTGGGAGGGATATGACCACCCTGGGCTGCTCCAGACACAAGGCCAGGGACAGCAGAGCCCCTACACACACACACACACACACACACACACACATACACACACACACACACTCGGTGGGGGACATCCTGGGCGGGCTGTGAGAGCCCTGAGCACCCCCTGCTCGGACTTTGGAAGCTGCTGGCATCTGGCTCTGGTCGGGGGAATCAGTCTGAGGAGAGAGCGGGGTGGGGGAAGGCCGTCACTGGACCCCCACCTGCAGCATTGCCCTGCAGAGGTGTGCTCCTCGTCCCCAAGCACCCCCAAGCAGCTCTTCGACAGCTCCCACACAGAGTCACTCCGGTGAGCCATGATCATGTGCGTATCCCCGGCACCCCAACCAGGAGCACACAGACCCCACACCCAGGGGTCTGAGGGTCACCCTCTGTCCCCCACGCCAGAGGGACACCCTGGCAGCCCACACAGGCACCCCCATCTTCAGCTCCCTGCACATGACGTACCCCTTAGCAAGGCCTGCGGAAGGAGATGATGAGGGCAGTGCCCACAATGATGCCCAGCACACCCAGGCCAAAGGCCAGGCCACACAGCACATTCTCCAGGAGAGCCGAGGGCAGTGCGTTCTGCGGCACTAGAGAGAGGCGGAAAGGCGGAGGCGGGCCAAGGTGAAAACGGATGACACACACAAGGCCCCGTCCCTGGGTCTGCCCCATCCTTGTGCACCCCAGAGAGGGACAGACTGCCAGGGAGAAGGGCCTCACCCCAGTAGGCAACTGCTGTGTAGCGGTCGATCTCGTGAGTCACGATGCAGGAGTAAAGGTCAGAGGGCTGTGGGGTGAAGTTTAAGTACGAGAAGGCCTGGAAGCTGAGTCCATCGACAGCCGAGACGAAGGTGGGCCCAGCTCCCTGCACCGGCTCCAAGTGGTGCTGCCAACTCACGCTCAGCATGGGCGGGAAGAGGTTGCTGATGAAACACACCAGCGTGTTGGGCTTGCCAAACTCCAGGGGCCTCAGCGGGAACACCTCCGCGATGGGGAAGCCTGGGGGGAGGGGGAGAGTGAAGACAAGGACGGGCTCATGTGGACGGTCGTTCGGTGTGGAGAGTGGGTGGCACGGGCGGACGGGCAGAGTAGGGGTCCGCGTGCCATGCTTGGGTGCAGGAGGTGAGCAGAGAGCTGTAGCCCCGAGCGAGGTCTTCTTCCAGGCAAGAGGCACAGCAAGAGCCGGAGGGCGGGCCAGATGCAGGCCACTGGACCCCACCCCGACCCCCGCCTCTGGTGGCGTTTCCTGTCTAGATCTCCCACAGGCATCTGATCATAGACTGACTTCTCATCCAAACACAAGCACATCACTGGCTACTGCCACCGTCCCCTTCCATCTGGCTGAGCACGGTTTCACGAGCCCTAGTATTCAGCGGGCGTCAGTTAGCCCCTGTCGGACTCATCAGTGCAATAAATAGATTGGGACACCTACTGCGTGCACAGCACTCTCTTCTGCCCACAACAAAATACGGGGTGCAGACCGAGGCCCCAGGGGGAAATGAAGACCCTTAGGGAGAACCAGAGGCAGGGAACCGGTGCAAAGAGGAAGCACTCTGGGCATAGACAAGGAAGAGCTCGGGGTATAGACGAGCCAGGGTGAGACCTAGGCCCCGGGCTCCACCCCTGCAAACCCCTGACCTCGGGACACCGGGATCTTCCCGTCAAGATGTGGGCCCACATTCTGGACCAACTGCTGGCAGAACCATCTGTCAAACAAAATGTCAGAGATGTCGCTCTGGTCCTGGGCCCAGTCAGCAAATTCGGGCAGGCGAGGCACACGGGTTCTCTGGGAAAAGTCGAAGGAGAAGAGCAGGTCCGAGTCATAGGCTTCGAAGAGCCCCTCAGAGGGATTCCCCATCTGGCAGAAGACCGTGTGCAGGAACGTGTGGTTTTGCAGCTCATCCCGCCAGGCCGGAGCAGCCACTGCAAAGGAAACAGGGTGGGATGCAGGAAGTGGGTACCTCCAGCTCCTCTGTAACTCAGAAGGCAGCAAGGCCTGTCTGCAGGAGCAGCGGAAGAGGTGGCCACGACCCCGCTTGTGTCGGTCACTTAGCAGTCAGAGGGCATTCTGAACTTGCCCTGCCAAGCCAACCATGTGAACTTATGAAAGGCAAGAAAGGTCTACCATGTGCACATGTTCTGACTCACTCAGTCTGCAATGCAGCCTGCGCTCTGCTCAGCACGCCCCGCGCCCTGGCACCGAGCTACCTCCTCTCAAAGGGGATGCCTCTGTGTCATTCACACAAGACAAGCACAAGGCCAGGGCTGGGTTCCCCAGTCTTAGAAGGGAAGCAGAAGGAATGGTCACGGCCTCCCTAAGCCACAGACGATACTGCCATCCCCCACCCCCACCCCACCCCAAGACACATGTGGTGAACACAAGGACCAAGTCTCCAGACTTCACCCATCGGCTCCAGGCCTCTCCGAACACCTCTCCGCCTACCCTAACTCCCCAAATGACAGGTGTGGGGGACGTGAGCCATTGCTGCAGGAAATAACCCCTCTTCTCTGAAATGCCTATCCCTCCGACAACAGAAATCCCTCTACCCAGTTCCCAACACAGAACGACAGACATTTAGAGTAAGAAAGAACTTCAGGGCCGGCGCCGCGGCTCAATAGGCTAATCCTCCACCTTGTGGCATCAGCACACCGGGTTCTAGTCCCAGTCGGGGCGCCGGATTCTGTCCCAGTTGCCCCTCTTCCAGGCCAGCTCTCTGCTGTGGTCAGGGAATGCAGTGGAGGATGGCCCACGTGCTTGGGCCCTGCACCCCATGGGAGACCAGGAGAAGCACCTGGCTCCTGGCTTCGGATCAGCGTGGTGCACTGGCCGCGGCAGCCATTGGAGGGTGAACCAACGGCAAAGGAAGACCTTTCTCTCTGTCTCTCTTTCTCACTGTCCACTCTGCCTGTCAAAAAGAAAGAAAGGAAGGAAGGAAGGAAGGAAGGAAGGAAGGAAGGAAGGAAGGAAGGAAGGAAGAACTTCAGGGCCGGTGCCATGGTACAGCAGGTGTCAGAGCCCCGGCTGGAGTCTGGCTGCTCCAATTCTGCTCCAGCTCCCTGCTAATGCACCTGGGAAAGCAGCCAAAGATGTTCCAAGTGCTTGAGCCCCTGCACCCACTGGGAGACAGGACGGATGGAGAATGAAACAGCAGATGGAAGATCTCCCTTTCTGCCTCTCCCTCTCTCTGTCACTCTGCCTTTCAAACAAAGAGTCTTTAAAAAGGGGGGGGGGGGGGCAGCGCTGTGTCGCATTGGTTAAAGCCCTGGTCTGAAGCAACAGCATCTCATAGGGGCCAGTTCGAGTCCCAGCTGCTCCATTTCCGATCCAGCTCTCTGCTGTGGCCTGGGAAAGCAGTAGAAGATGGCCCAAGTCCTTGGGCCCCCACACCCCCATGGGAGACCTGGAAGAAGCTCCTGGCTTCGGATCAGCACAGCTCCGGCCGTTGAGGCCATCTGGGGAGTGAACCAGTGGATGAAAGACCTCTCCCTCTGTCTCTATCTCTCTCTGTAACTCTTTCAAATAAATGAAATAAATCTTTAAAAAAAAAAAAAAAAAAAAAAACTTCCGGGTTGGTTTTCCATTCTGCCCCATCCTTCACAGAGAGGGAAACCAAGAATCGTGAGATGAGCTGACAGAGTGCAGGGCAGAAACCTGCCCCCCAGGAATGGAGATAATTTGCTTTGTTCAAATCCCAGCGCTACTGCTTTCCGGCTGTGTGACCTTGCACAGGCTACTTAAACTCTGAGTCCCATTTTGTTCCTCTGCGAAATGGGCAGAACACTCTGCTTCCAGAGACGGCTCTAAAGGGAACGTGCCAGGCACCTCCACTCGCTTCCGTAGACAGGAGCTCTCTGCCAACTCCACTCCCTCCCACTTGCTTCGCACCACCCTCAAAGCCTTGAGTTCTGCGGGCAGTGCTCAGGGCGTGCTCCCCGGGCTCCAAGGCGGCAGGATGCAAGGAAAGGCGAGGCGCCTTCTTACCTGCAGGGCCGGCCCAGGAGCGGGGCAGCAGCCACAGAAGCTGCAGCAGTTGCAGCCGTGCAGCCCCCTGGCTCTGCCCACGATCCATATCCTCGCTCTGCACCGCAGGTAGCAGCTGCCAACCCAGGTCCCCCAGCTCCGAGAGACTCAGCTCGCGTTGCGCCAGCACCTTACCAGGGATCGCCCTTGTCGTGTTGGTTCAGCCAATCACAGAAAAGCACTGTTCAACATCATCCGTCACCGAGAAGAGACCCGGGGCCAGCAACCTCCTGGAGCTTGGGCGCGCAGAAGTAACGGGACCGGCAAGGCGGGCGCAGGAAGGCGCGCGCCGGTGGGGCGCCCCCTGCCGTCGCGGGCGGGTGGTGAGGGCAGCGCCGCCTGGCGGCAGGAAGCCAGCTCGTCCGCCTCCGCGACCGCCGGGCTCTGCAGACCCCGCCTCCTCCCGCCCCGGGGCCCCTCCGTTTTCTCCCCCAGGCATCAGCTAGGATTCGTTCTGCAGACATGTGCTGAAATTTTAGTAAGTGCTGGGCATTGGGCCCCGTGCTGGAAATGCAGAGAGGGGTACAGACGCCGCCCCTTATCCGAGCTTTCACTATCAACACTTTCGCTTTCAGTGATCTGGGATCACTTGCGGTCAGAAAATACTGAACAGAAAATTCCAGGAGTGAACGGCGAGACTTACACTGGGCTCCGTTCCGAGTGGCGCGATGAGTTCTCCCAACATTGCGCTGCACTCTGCCCTGGACGTGAGTCCCCCCCACCTTGCTCCAGCGCACCTGCACCGGCTGCACTGCGCGACTGTCAGTCATTTAGTCGGGAAGTTGCCAGGGCGAGGGTTGTGGCATGGCAACGTCTTATTTTATTTTATTCTATTTTTAATTATGTACTTATTTATTAGAAAGGCAGAGGGAAAGGAAGAGACACAGAGATTTTCCATTCGCTGGTTCAGTCACCAAATGGCCCCAATTTTTGGAAGCCAGGAGCCCAGAACTCCGTCTGGGTCTCCCACGCAAGTGCAGCAGCCCAGGCACTCGCGTCAACTTCTGCCGCCTTCCCAGGAGCTGGGCAGGAAGCCGCATCCCAAGCAGAGCAGCGGGCAGCCCCAAAGCACGGGCGTAGTAAAGTTGTCATTCAGACATAACAAAGAGTAGTCATAAAGTGCTTCCTTTACGTGAAAAGGTGAAAGTTCTCAACCTAAAAAATGCGGAGGGGGAAAATCGTGGGCGATTGCTGAGCGACAAGACTTTGAGAGAAAGAGACAGGGAGCAGGAGGGAAGGGGAGGAGGAGAGAGTGAGAGGGGAGAGGAAAGGAGGAGAGCGAGAAAGAGGGAGGGTCAGTGCAGGGAGGGGAGGGAGGGAGGGAGGAGTGGAGGGAGGTGGGGCAGAGAAGGTGGGGAGGGAAAGGGAGCAGTGATGGAGCGGTGGAGGATGGAGACAGACCGAAGGGAGGGATGGGAAGAGAAGGAGGTGGAGGAAGTGAGAGGAGAGGGAGGGAATGGGGAGGGGCGATCACAGTCACATAACTGTCATTACAGTATGATGAGGTTATTCTATGCTATTATTAGTGTTGTCACTGTTTTACTCAGCCTGATTTATAATTAAACTGTATCATAGCTGTATATGTGTAGAAAAAACATGATCATGGTTTATATAGGATTTGGTACTATCTGCTGTTTCAAGCATCGCTGGGGGTGTAACTCCCAAGGATAGGAGGCTGAAGATGCATTCCAAGGCATGCTCCAGGCTTCAGGGCTTAAAGGAGCGGTGGGCAGTGTTGGTGAATAAGTAATTACACAACAATGTGATGTATTCAAATTGCTAAGCGCTTTGGAAGCAATAAAAATGTTATAAGGATGGAGAAACAGGTGGGACATAATCAGGCAGGCTCCTAAGAGTCTTGGCCAGCAGAATATGAGGGCAAAGAACAACCTTTCCAGGTAAAGGGTGGACACATGTGTTGCGATCACAGGCATCCACGGTTCTGGGCTAGAAATTCTGGCCAGAGTCAGATCACATCGGCCCTGGTACCCCTTGAAGAGGGCCTGGCTTTCACCTACCAGATGACAAATGTTAACTTGGGGAATGGGGGCCAGCATGATGGCGCACCTGTTCAAGTCCTGGCTGCTCCTCTTTGGATCCAGCTCCCTGATAATGTTCCGAGGAGGACAGCAAAAGATGGCTCAAGTACTTGGGTCCTTGCTAACCATGTGGGAGACCTGATGGAGTTCCTGGCTTCAGCCTGGTCCAGAACTGGCTGTTGTGGCCATTTTGGGAAGTGAACCAGTAGATGGAAGACAATTGTCTCTCTCTTTCCCTTTTCTGTGTTTCAAATAAACAAATCCTTTGTTAAAAAAAAAAATACTAGGGAATGACACAATCATTTTAGCATTTTAGAAAAATTTTTCTGATAGTTAAAACAATGGACTTGGAAATAATTGAGGCAAATCTGCTGGTTAAAGTCTGTAGCATATTATGTCAAGATTGAAAAGTTGCACATGCACACACCACCCTCTTGCAGCAACACAGCAATGATTTAAGGGAGAGATGACAGGTGCCTGAATTAAATCACAGTCACAGAGATGGGAAAGCTAAGTTGCTGAGATAATTAGGAAGTAGAATCTAAAGGATCTGGCTACTTCTTACGTATAGGAAGGTGAGAAGATGGATAATACCCAGGTTTTGTGAGAAATACCCTCATCTGTCCACTCAAGAGATGGACTCGAACTCAGGAATTACAGTGAAAGCAAGTTTACTATCAGTTTTGAAAGATCAGGTGTCTGATGAGCAGGCACACCCTGAGCAGTTACAGCAATTTATATCCTAGCATGCAGGTCCCTCCCCCAGTTCCTCATTGGCTGAGTACTAGGCTGTGTACAACCTTCCCAAATGTTGCCTCTGTTACAAAGCTACCTTCCTCCTGCCTTCTCTGGATTTATTTTCTTCTTGTGAGTTGGCTACTCCATACATCCTCTTTGCCTAGTGAGTTTTGTGCATCTGCAGCTCAGCTAACAGTAATTTTCCATTCTGTGTTGAAAATGGACCACTCGACATTTTCCTAGAGGTTTCCAGCAGGGGTGACTGGGTGGGTGGTCAGTGACAGACTGGATTGGAGCAAAATGGAGGGCTTTATAAAGGAGGAGGTTTAAACGGGAAGAGAGTGAGCTTGATCCTGTACCTGTTGAATTAGAGATGCCAATGGAACAGCCAGCCCAAGCCACACCGGAAGCTGTGAGGTGTAGGAATACAGACCCCAGGTGCAGGCTGAAGAACTTGTCCTTGGGAGTCAACGGCACAAATGCTGAAGCAGAGGCCATGGATAAAATCACTCGATAGACCACGCAAAAAGAGCATGAAGTGGAGACAAGGACCTAGATCTGCAGGGTTCAGACCTCAAGTCTCACACCAGTTATCAACCGGGATCCAGTCAGGAACACATCACCACTCAGGTACTTAAGACGGGAGAAGTTAATAGAATTAGATACAAAGGTGTTATAAGGGCAAGAAGCACAAAAGGGAGAAGGGGACTTGGCTGGAAGAGCCAATGGAAAGGTGGAGCCGAGATCTGAAATCAGATGCTCCTATGGCCCCTTGCTAGAATCCCTGGGTCTACACCTGCTGCTGCCCTGCGGGAGACACCACCTGAGCAGCTCTGATCTACTGAAAAGGTGCCACTGAGGTTGGAATCATTGCAAAGATCTGGCTGGAGTCCAGAATCACCCCTTCTCCCGGGTGCTACAACTGCCAGCAACTGCCAGCGGCTGTCCCCGGGTTAGAGGCTGAAGCAGGAGGCCCCCAGGTTTCTCCTGCCTGCTGATCTACCAGTGCCTCCTGTGGGCAGACTCCAACAGGAAGTCAGCAGGCCAGGAAGTCTGGGAGGCCGTACCTGGCTGACTGGTCTTAGGCAGGGCAGTAAAGAACAGGGTACAAAAGGGTGGGTGTGGCACTGAGAGACAATAGACAATACCCAGTACAATGGAATATGCTAATTTGTAACAGTCTAGTGGCACCAGGAGAAGACAGAGCGCCAGCTCAGAGAACAAGGAGATCCGAGAAATCAAGAGGGCGATATGCGTTACTGAATGCTGCTCACAAGTCCAGGAAGGACTGGAGAATGTCGCTGGGCTTAGAGATTATGCGACGACGGCTGACAAATTTACTGAGAACAGTTTCAGTGTTGTGGTGGGAGTCGACTCCAGATTGTGGTGGGCTGAGAAGTAAGTGGGAGGTGAGGAAGAAACTGTGGTGGATTTGCTCCAAGTTTGATAGGGAGGAGAAGACAGAAGGGTGGGGGAAGAGGCAGTGAGAAAGATCTAATGTGGCAATTAAGTAACCTAAGAAATTAATCTATGCACATGTGTTCCTCAGTTTTCCTGAGACTTTCAGAAACTATACCCCTTTAGTAAACAAGTGACAGCAGCAACAACAGCCAAAACAAGAAGCAAAAACAACCCCGTGCTCTTCTGCATACTCTGTAGCGGCAATGTGTATTTATGTGTGTGTGTAGCTGGGTGGTGGGGACAGGCGTCAGGGGAGGGGGAGGGCTTAGAAATCGTTTCAACATTCCAGAAAACCAAAGAACATCTTCCCTGTGGACTAACCCATCAGTAGTTCAACGGGGAGACTCCGGCCCTTTGGATATTGGACAGGAAGCCTAGGGCAGCCCCAGGGCAGTAGGGGAGACTGGGGCACACAGCCACCCCTGGTTCTGTAACAGGGGTCCGCCAGCTCGTTCTGTAAAGAGCCTCGAAGACTTGCAGGCTTTGTGTGTTAGCCAGTCTCTGTCCTGAGTATTCACTGTGGCCAGAGAACAGCCATGGACAACGTGGAAGTCGAACAGTGGCCATGTTCCTAGCTCCCTCCAAGCTTTCTCTCCCTCTTTGTGGGCAGCACCTTATGTCTCTCTTCTCTCCGCTGTTTTTTTTATTTTTTTTTTTTTTTTAGATTTACTTATTTATCTAAAAGGCAGAGTGACAGAGACAGAGAGAGAGGCACGAGATCTTTCATCTGCAGGTTCACTTCTCAAATGTCTGCCACAGCCCCAGCCTCAGTCCAGGGTCCTGGACCTCCATCCGGATCTCCCATATGGTGGCAGGGGTCCAAGAACTTGGGCCATGTTCCTCTGCTTTCCCAA